ACCGGTTCCGGCTTTGTCCCTGATTGGGAAATGGGGCTTTGTGCGCCCCCCTGCCTGCGCTACTGTGTGTGTGTGTGTGTTTGTGTGTGTGTTTGCGTTTGTGTGTGTGTGTGTGTGTGTGTTGTGTGTGTGTGTGTGTGTGTGTGGTGTGTGTGTGTGTGTGTTTGTGTGTGTGTGTGTGTGTGTGTGTGTGTGTGTGCATGTGTGTGTGTGTGTGTGTGTGTGTGTGTGTGTGCATGTGTGTGTGTGTGTGTGTGTGTGTGTGTGTGTGTGTGTGTGTGTGTGTGTGTTGTGTGTGTGTGTGTGTGTGTGTGTGTGTGTGCATGTGTGTGTGTGTGTGTGTGTGTGGTATGTGTGTGTGTGTGTGTGTGTGTGTGTGTGTGTGTGTGTGTGTGTGTGTGTGTGTGTGTGTGTGTGTGTGTGTGTGTGTGTGTGTGTGTGTGTGTGTGTGTGTGTGTGTGTGTGTGTGTGTGTGTGTGTGTGTGTGTGTGTGTGTGTGTGTGTGTGTGTGTGTGTGCGCGCGCGCGCGCGCGCACCCGTGGGTATGTGTGTGGCGGCGGAGAGCGCAGTCGACGAAGTCGTGAGAGATACAGACGGGGACAGAGAAAGAGAGGGATGGAAAGTGAGGGCGTAGAGAGGTGAAGAACACGAGACCACTTTTCAATCAGCTTGAGGTTTTATCAGACCTTTCTGTCCGTGGGGGGATCCTCTGGCTCTGAAATGAGTACCTGGCACATGATTAACATGCAGTGAGCTCACTTCCCTTCGGCTTCAGCCACTCAGAGCTGAGCCGACGTCGCCGCCCGTTGCGTGTTTGAAATGCTCGTCAGCGCACCGTCGGCTGTTCCACAGGCGGGCGTGGGAGTGCCGCAGCGGCCTCCGACGCCCTCGAGATCCGAGACGAGCCCGGCTGAGGGCGGTAAGTGCGCCGCCGTCCGCCGCGCTCTCGCGGTCACGTCGCGTCCTGACGAGGGGGAGGTGGCCGAGCGCCTGGCTTTTACCGGGTCGATGGGCCCTCCCGGGGTCACCGGCGGTTCTCCTGACCCCTCCCCTACCACCCGGACGCCTGGCTCTCCCCGGGTCAATGGGCTCGCCCGAGGTCACTGACGGTCCTCCAGTCCCACTCCCTCCCCCCCCCCCCCCCGTCGCCGGACGCCCGGTCGACCATCTCGTCATAATGCCGCCATGAAAATAGGCTGATTGTCTGGCATGAATGGCGACCGGGTGGGGGCGCTGGCTGGCCGGCAGAAGGACTATCACCGCCGGCGCCCGGAGGCCACCGCTGCAGGGCTAAGAGGCCATCGTCTTGGAGCAGGGAGGTCACAACCGCGAGGCAGGGAGGTCACCTCCGCGGGGAAGGGAGAGCAACACTGCAGGGCAGGGAGGTCACCGCCACGGGGAAGGGAGGTCACCACCGCAGGGCAGGGGAACCCCCACCGCAGGACAGGGAGATCAATGCCGCGGGGAAGGGAGATCAACATCGCAGGACAGGGAGATCACCACCGCAGGGCAGGGAGATCACCACTTCAAGGCGCGGAGCTCACCATCGCAGGACAGGGAGATCCCTACCGCAGAGCAGGGAGATCACCGCAAGGCAGAGGGATCACCACTTTAAAGCAGGGAGATCACCATCGCAGGGCAGGGAGATCACCATCGCAGGGCAGGGAGATCACCATCGCAGGGCAAGGAGGCCAACACCGCGGGGAAGGGAGATAAACATCGCAGGATAGGGAGATCACTACGGCAGGGCAGGGTGGTCACCGCCGCGGGTCAGTGATGTCGCTGCCGCTGGACAGGCCGCGTCATCAGCGGCCCTCGCGGACTGCGTCGCTCGCCGCCGGGCCCGCCGGCCGGGTCATCCGTCATCGGCGATGAATCTGTGTCTTCATCGTGGGAAACGGCCGGTGTCATCAGTCAGAGGTTACGGGGACAGCACGGAGCCATCGTTAAAGGGTGGGGACCCGATCATTGCTCACAGGCGAGGGCCGGCAGGGGCGTTATTGATAGTCGGCGGTAGGATGTGATCAGCAGCGGCGAATTTAGAACACAAGTCGCCGGACCGCAGTGATCAATGGCCGTCTTATTCCACCGAGTCTCGGCGAATCTCACAGAAAGCACCATTTGGCAGTGGCAGCGGTAGGTATTTGATTGCTTTTGGATACTTTGCCAGAATGAATTTGTCCGCTTGGCGCCTGGTGATCTTTTTGTTGATCATTAGCAAGTGAACAACATGAACGTTTAGGCGCGATTTTGGAAGCTGAGTTCAGCATGGTGTGCTCGGCATGGCACCTATCCTGTCAACTAAATGACTTTACCGATGATCCATCTTTTTAGACGTGATTACTAGGCCAAACAATGAGGAATGCCGGACGTTTTTAACACGTTACTCGTGAGGACTCACTACTGCACGCCACTGATATAATCATGCCTGAAATGGATAAAAGCACGCAGCTTACCAGCATTGAGTCGTGGGTGCGGGCTGCCATGTACCTAGCGGGCCTTGAAACCGGTATATTTCGGGCGGCAACGACGCTGCCGTCCAAATACAGAGGTGATTGCAAACAGATCACACGGAGCTAACGTAACACAACCTGCGCCCGGTCCGGGGAAGTTCACCCCCTCCCGAGTCTCCAGCTTCCAGACGTCGCACGAGAAAGCTAAAGATACGTCTGTGAAGGTCTCGTCAAATCACGAGGAATGCATGACAAATTTTTAAACTTTGGTCAAATTTGAGGTCACGAGATATCCCGAAAAAAATATGATGAATGCAATTGAAACATATGTTAGCATGTCAGGACGGATATTGAGGGAACAGAAGTGAGAGTCTAGATGGCGAGGAGTCCATTCCGATCATTTTGTATCCTCGCAAGGGTCAGGTCACGTCAGGCCATCGTTCAAATTTGGCCTACCAGAGCCTACGAGGACGATAATTTTTGTTTCCTTTTACATGGTGCTCTTATTTCATTCGGTGCGGCTGTGGGACAAAATTATCCCAGGCATAAAAACACCATTTAGGCTGACCCAGAGGTTTTCAAAAAGTGAGATAGGTAGAGACACCAAATTCACAGAGTGAATTAACTTTAACGTAAACTGACTTGTGTCAAAAATTGAGGTTCCTAGGTCATGACCTCGAGTTTAAATAAGGTGAAACAAACCAGATCGGTGTTTCAAGTTCCAGATCGGTTCCAGATCGGTGTCTTAAGTGTCCCACATCGGTTCGAGATCGGTGTCTTCCGTGCCCCAGATCTCTTCATGCAACCACCATGAGGCTAAGTCCCTGTTCCAAACAAAACATCCATGAAATCAGTGTCCTTGTTTGACCATTGTGAGGTCAAGGTGTCCAAATATCTAAGGTATTTTTCCTATTTTGTCGTTTGAATAAGCGTCAGGGAGTACGCTAACCGGCATGTTCTTAAAAAAAAAATAAGATAATGACCACGCTAACTTCAAGTCAGTGACCTAGTCTGGCTTTAAAAACGTCCATGGAATATGTCTGTTGCGGTCCCTGTCATTAAGAATTCGAAACGAGCACTAGAAACTTTTCCATCAAACAAAGCTCTTGAGTAAAAGAGCAGGTTAATTTTTACCTCGGTCTGACCTTTATACCCCTAGGTCAATACGATATCATACATGGCTGTAATTCTAAACTTAATTCGTTAATTGCCTAAAAACCATCTCAGATAGGTGGGGCTTTGTCTAGCACTCCGTTGTTGCAGCACATACAAAGATTCCCTAGAAATGTCCTTCGCTGAAAGCAATGACCTGAATTTGACCTGCCATCGGTCAGCGGCCACACAAGGTACTTTCTTTTACATCAAAATATTTGGTATTCAATTTTCTACAGGTGTGCAAAGCTTACCGTGGCTACGCCGCGTCGTTCGGAAATCACTCTCGAAAAACTTTTTGGGGGCCAATTTGACTCCTCCCCACCCGAGCGGCGGGTTAAAGACACTAGTTGCGCTAACGGGCGTCGTAATGTTGCGCGATCATGGCACTGCTGCGGCCACTCATGTAGCACATGTAGCACATTTCCCAACAAATGCGTTTTGAGGCGAGCAGTGGCACAGCATTGGTACAGAAAATGGCGTCAATGCACTGCTCGCTGTTCGGTGGCACAGTAGCATTAACAACGTGTCTGCATAAGGTTGCTTAATACAAAAGCATAGCTGTAGATTCTGAAACTCTGCCAGCGCTTTGGAGGCGGTATAAGTAAGCATATGACCAGCATATCGCTTTAAAGTTTTCCGCCATGGTTTTTACCTGCATCTAGTAAAATAAAAATATATAAACGTTACATCAAAGAAGCTCGATGCACTGGTGTTCACTAAAATTTATCAAGTAACTTTGTGCTGTTTCTCAGGGCTGTTTCCATTCCCCGATCAATCTTGTTTTTCACCAGATATTGTAACCCTTTCATGTTTTCTGGGTCAACACTGTATCAGCCCTTCGTGGCCCGCTGGGTTATATGACAGCTGGTAATGCGTACACCAATATCCGCTAATCCAATCAGGCCAGCGCGATGGAAAAGCAATGTTGCCCTGGAGGCAATCTGGGTCGCCAGCCGGTGCCGGGACCCCCGACGAGTTGTGACACAGTTCTAGCCGGCAGCGTGTGCTCGCAACAGACTTGTCGGAGCATTTAGACGTGGCTTTACGCACACCTGGATATAGTCAGCTTGCATGCTGAGTTGATTACACGGTGGCACCTAATGGACCTGTGCACGTGATTTGATTATCGTGAATTTCCACTGTCGGACAATATTGGCGCGGAGGCGATTAACAGCTTAGGCCGAAGCTAATTATGACATAATAGGATTGACCGAGATTAATTTCTAATGGCGAACTCGTCTGTGTGTGGGTTTCACAGAGAAATAACGTAGTCCCGTGGTGGAGCTCGCCAGCATTGAGCGAGCAGCAATGGCGGACACATATGCAATGCCTCGACTTCCCTTGGACAAAGGGGAATTTTTCCCCGCCCCAATGGCCGTCATGCCACCACGTCCCGGCACACCCTGGTTCTGTGCATTTGACCTCTTCGGTGACCTTGACCTCTCGCCTGCCTCATGACCTCAGTCGACTTTCTGCCACCTCGCTCATCACCCTCCAGCTAGCTGAGAGAGTGCCGCTACGCACCTTCTACGACGGACTCTTCCGCTTCCCCTGCCGGTATGGCGTACAGCTCTACAGAAAAGCCGCAGAAATCTTTGACAGACTGCAAAGCGGCTACGTTCCAGGCAGCAAATGCAATCTGGTGGTTGAAGACATTGAATTCAGCAGTAATGAAGAGAAGAAGCTCGCATTTGAGCTGGCATACGCGGCCATGAAATGTGAGTGCCGAATTCCGTGTCATGCAGCACTTCAGCTGTCATGAGCCTGATCTTGGTCGATGACTGAATTAGTGTATTTTTACTTCTTCCCCAGATGAAGACGTATTGCGCCAGACCTTGAATGACGTGGGATTCGTCGCTAAATACCCCGAGGTAAGGGGATAATTATACTGTTTGAACAGCAATCATTAGTTGTCTCTAGTCATAACGCGGCATGCAAATAACTTCAACAAACGCTGCATGTACCATTTAAACGGTCCCCAGATGCTTAGAATGGGCAATACATTAAAACATTTTCATCATTGCCCTCAGTTTGATATACATTAGGTAGCCAGTTATGGTTATTTAGCAATTTCGCATGATGTGTTTACAAATTCGGCATGTCGGTTGAAATGTGTTATCGAGAATGAACCACGGCGAAAAGAAACGGCCACAATGATTTTTTTATGACGCGATCGTTCGGTTATTAATTAAATGTGGGGTGCTGGCGGAGTTTTAACTGGGTGGTGGAAGAAATCACTAATTTTGGGGGGACTATAGTATCCATTGCATTACATTGTAAAGACGGCTATGTTCCCTTAAATTTGGACCACCCAAGGGGTTCGTGAGCATCAAAGTCCCGATTATGCTCACCCGCGGCGTTATCTGCCGAATGTGCCAATAACACCTTTGTGTTATGAATATGGCATGTTTGCATATCTTGTATAATATATATATATATATATATATATATATATATATATATATATAAAGCTAGTCCCTTACTATTTATGATGCCTATGCCTGCCCGTGTTCTATTGGCGAGGAACAGACATAAGCAGATATGCAAACCACAAAACCTGCCATCGAGCAATTCACGGCCGGCACCGTGAGCAGCCTGATCTTAAGTCCATGCCCGCCTCATCCAGTTCCAGGACGACCTGAGCCTGGCAGGCAGTGATGCTGTACGACTACCAAGGACCGGCGGTTCCAGCGGCGTCGGCCACTCAGCTCCGAACGCCGCCAGCCGCGCCACCGTCGGCTGGAGGAGGCACTGTTCCAGCTGCGCACCCGGCTCTCGGCGGCGCTGGCCAGGATCCGGATCCTGCACGACGCGCCCAGCCTGCGGACCCTGCTGCCGGCCGACCTGCAGCCGCGCGAGACGGCCAAACACCGGCCCCTGCACTGCTGGCTCAACGGCAACAAGGCCAGGCGAGTCGCCCGCCAGGCGGCGCTCGGCGGGCTTGCAGTGCCTCTAGCCTTGGCTCGATCTTGTCGGCGTACTTACTGACTTGTAGTCAAGACGGACGATTGATGCAACGTGTATGGCTGTTAAACGTCCCGGTGTATTCTGGGTAGATGTGCTCCAAGGTTGCGGGGGGGGGGGGGCATGCAAGTCAGCTCAGCGGTCCGATTACTCGACCTCGTCGAATCTTGCATCCCTTTCACCGACCCTCCGCCCAGAGGTGTGGCACCCTCTCCAATGCCCGTCATTGTGCGTGGACATGGTAGGAAATAGCGCCGCCCGCTCACCACGGACATTTGACCCACCTCTTCTTTCCACGCGATCTTCCAGCTCGGCAGGAGGCACTGGACAGCCTGTGGTCAACCTTGAAGGTGCTGCAGCCGGGGTTGTCCAAGACCGACTTCCATCACGACAAAGACTTCCCAGATCTGCTAATTTTCGAACCCGGCTGGAAGGAAACTATAGAGAAGACGTCCACTTTCAAAACCCGATGGATAGTGCTGCAGGTGAACACCTTTGCAAACATTGGGCGCAAATAAGTTCTTTGATATATTTCGCACATATTTCTCCCAAACCATGATCATTATTTCGAGTGATATTTTGTTCCTTGTATATCTGTATCGGGACCTTTACTACATATTTCGGTGTGTAAATTGCTGGCAGATGCCTTCCAATGTTGCATTGGTAGCAGCCACGCATCAGATCAAGTATACATCTGTGTATATATATATATATATATATATATATATATATAGTGTGAGCGCGCGCGCCATTGAGTAACAAAGGGAGCATGTGGCGTTGTGTAGTCGACAGCTACCGAGGGTTGAAAGTGCCCATCATTTACAGTGGGACTATAGTAGAGCGTGTCGCCTTGCAGCGCTAGCGGTCATGCCACGCGACACTCGAGCGGAGAGGGCTTGTCTTGATTGCGGCGTTCGTTCCTCCAGTGACGCTATCTGACAATGCCCTCGGCGAATGCTGTCTGCCCCTTGTCCCTGCCGTTGAAGGCCTGCAGGCGTGACACCATCTGCCACCTCTCGCTGTAGGAGAAGGCCGGACTGTCTGTAGTCCCACGCAGCGGTGTTGCCTGCCCACTTTTCCTCTCGCGGGAGAAGGCGTGCGGCTGCCGCCTCTCCCCAGGAAAGGGTTCATCTGTCTGTAGCCCCGAATGCTCACGCCGTGCGACGGGTCCTGGCAGGGGATGATGGCTGCTGTCTGTGATTTCCAGACGGTCACACCGCCTGACGACTGTCTGCAGGAGAGGATCTGTGACCAGACGGTCACACCGCCTGACGTCTGTCCTTGCAGGAGAGGATCTGTGATCCCCAGACAGTCACCCGCCTGACGTGTGTCCCTGCAGGAGAGGATCTGTGATCCCCAGACGGTCACACCGCCTGACGTGTCCTGCAGGAGAGGATCTGTGATCCCCAGACGGTCAAACCGCCTGACTGTGTCCCTGCAGGAGAAGATCTGTGATCCCAGACGGTCAACCACCGCCTGACGTCTGTCCCTGCAGGAGAGGATCTGTGATCCCCAGACGGTCACACCGCCTGACGTGTGTCCCTGCAGGAGAGGATCTGTGATCCCCAGACGGTCACACCGCCTGACGTGGTCCCTGCAGGAGAGGATATGTGATCCCCAGACGGTCACAACCGCCTGACGTGTGTCCCTGCAGGAAGATCTGTGATCCCCAGACGGTCACACCGCCTGACGTCTGTCCCTGCAGGAGAGGATCTGTGATCCCCAGACGGTCACACCGCCTGACGTCTGTCCCTGCAGGAGAGGATCTGCTGGTTACAGCCTGCAGACCGTCACGCTGCCTGACGCTTCTCCCCAGGCGACGCTCCCCTGCATGTCTCTCCCAGACCATGACGTAGCTCAGCCCCAGACCGTGACCCGCCTGCCTCCGCCCCTCGTGTAGGAGAAGGCCTGCTGCCTGCCGGCGTACGCGTTGGTGCAGGAGCTGCGCCGGCTGTGGCAGCGCGAGCCCGAGCTGCGCGGGAGCCTGCTGCACGCCGGCGCCGGCAGCGGCCGCTCGCTGGCGCACGTGTCCAGCCGGCTGCCGGCCGGCGTAGGCGTCACCCGCCTGCTGGCGCTGGCCGGCGACAGGTCAGAGCCGCGGCTCCATCAGCCGCGCGTCAGACTCGCCGCCCAAGTTGGCCGGTGCGCCGCGCTGGCCGCCACTCTGCGGGATTGTCGGCGCGGCGGGGCCGGCGCCGGCGTCCTGCCGGCAGGGGCGGAGGCTGGCGTGGAGGGGCGCTCGCCTAGCGTGGCACGGACGCGCACAGGCGTCAAGGTCGCCTGCAGAAGCGATCGTGCCCCACCCCATCGTCCCACTGCTGATGAGCCCCACGCCTTCAGTGTCTGCAGCGCTGATTGCTCTGTGGATCAACGATGCTGTGCGTTTATGGTCACTTCAGGCAAAAAATGAACTGGGCGTCGTAGAAGGCGTTTTGCGCTGATATAAAAAGCCTGGTCTTTGTGAGGTGCAGCTGAAACAGCGTAGAATGTGCCGGCCCAAATCCACGAAAATGACCCCACCTCTATTTCAAGTGCCTGATTGTTCGCCTCGCTCAGCTGCCTGGACCGAGAAACTTAAGGGTAGGGCCGAGGCACCCTCTCAGTAGCCCATTTTATGTCATCCTCAATGCCCCGGGCTCGACTTTATCAGGAGTGTAGCTCAACCCAATTATGATGTTCCCCAAGTGCTCCGAACTGTCACTATCTTCATTTAAGTTTTAACAGAACGGCTTCCAAAAAATGAAATACTTTTCCGCTGAGGAAATTGGATCGCGAAAGTTTTTCAACGCATTATTGCTTTAGAACCGACAAGATCTTCCAATTTTCCCGTGTTGGGCGCCCATAGATGACTTAAGCCATACATGTGTATTGGGAGCTCTTATTCTTCGAAGTGCAAGGCATCAAAGCAACGGTGCTGACAGTAAACGCGACGAAAAAGTACATTGGAGAGCTTGCTGACACCATTGCCGTTCTGTGTATGACAGCTATTGTTTGTTTGGATGTGTTTTGTCGCCGTGCTCTCTGCCACGTCTGATTTACTTCAAAGACAGAACGAGCAAAAGCTACATTACTGTAAGTAATTTCTCTTTAAGATGGACTGCCCGCAGGTTATACGCCTCTCGCAAGTCTTGCCGTTTTGAAGGACTTCAACGTAATGCGTTTCAGACACTGCTGAGCCTTTTTGGCTGCTACATGAGCTGTAATGCCGATACTCGATGCCTTTCTCTTCTAGGCCAATTTTCTCATCGTAAACTATCCATATCGAAAGGTCTTTTATTGCTCAGTTCAAGCTTTGATTAGGTCTAGATCAGTAAAGATAACTTTCACAGAAACATCGGCGACCCCACATCATAAATGTGTTATTCATTCCTGTTCAGCTCTTGTTCATTCAGTTCTTGAGACAAATTACTGGTCCTCTGATGTACAAACTACGGACCATGTCTATTCTGCACAGAGCAGCGGTAAAGGCAGCGCTTGTGACAGACCCCAGTGGAAATCGTATGCGGGACGGGTTAGGCACGCGGCCAGCGACCCCGGCCCCAGCCCCGCGGCTCCGACTGCGGCCTCCATTAATGCTGGCGTTGGCCGCCAAATGGTCCGCGGCCGCCTCGCGAACGTCGGAGCCCACACCGAAAACGACCGCCGCTCGGTCTTCAAGCACGTGTACTTGCTCACGACCGACGTTCGATCGCGGGATAATGGGGTTCGAATTGGACGGCGGTAGCCGTGAGTGGGCCATCCCGATCAAAACCCGATCGTTACATGCTGTAATCAAAGCGATGGCAAACGAGGAGTCATCGGCGCCCAGCCAAACAGTCGACGTGACGACTCGAGACCTGTCACGGTCAGCTGAGCGGCAACCACGCCGTGTGTGAAGCGGGACGGTCCCCCGATCGGAGAGCCCCCTGCCCCGGCCGGATCGGCGCCCAGCAAACAGTCGACGTGACGACTCGAGACCTGTCACGGTCAGCTGAGCGACGACCACGCCGTGTGTGAAGCGGGACGGTCCCCCGATCGGAGAGCCCCCTGCCCCGGCTGGGACGGACCACACCGACCCTGACCTGACCGTGATCCCGCTCTGACCGGAGCGCGCCCCCCCCCCCCCCCCCTCCGCAGACGGGCCGTGGTGGAGCGGCAGCTGCAGGACCTGGGCGTGGCGGGCGCGCGCGTGCTCAGTGGCGGTCTGGACACGCCTGGCCGCGGCCACGACCTGCGGGACGTGGTGGCTGTGCTCGTCACGCCCGAGACCACCCATACAGCGCTGGCTGACCCCGTCGAATGGGTCATAGAGGAGGGCGGAGGTGAGCGACTGCCGGCGCCGGCCGGCACACGCCGCGCTGCTCCGGTTAAACGCGGCGCCGCCGCCGGTCGCATGTCCCCTGGCGTGATGTTATCAATTTAATCCAGGGTTGTGGCACAATTATGCGGGGGGATTGTATTTATAGGACCATTTAATGTATTGTCGGCGGTTTGATTTCACTTCCTATGCCAAGTGGGGAAGAATCTGGCGTATATGGACAGGTAAATGTGATATGATTTAAATTGTTTTGTTCTGCACGAAGCCTTCTCCTGCACGCTGCTGCCTGCTGTAAGACATCTCCTTTTCGACCTCATTTGATTTATCATCATGAGTGCAAAATGATCGTCCGGTGAAGGTTTCAGAGAATGTTTAATCCATATGCCTGCTGCAAAGACTCACTATGATGTAAAGCTTCGTTATAGGCAATTCAGTTATATGTGCATCCCATCGCTCACCATGCCCACGATCATTTTGTTGTCTGAGCCTCCATACCAAACAATAAAGAAAACAGTGGCGCTGCCTAAGCAGTTCAAACGGATGCGTTGGGCTCAGACCGAATAACTTTGTTCGTGTTAATGAGTTAACTCATGCTTAGCTGAGCGTGTGTCACTTCTCACTAGCGCGCCTACCAGCGGATAGCGTCCCTGTGCCATATCGGCTGTCTGGCCGCCGAACCAGCCGCATTAGCGGGCCGGCCGCATTTGGCGGTGCACTGTCGCGGCATGACAAGCCATTCGTCGGCCGCCAGACATATCGCTGCTGCGAGAGCTCTCCATGGAGCCAAGCCGGTCGGCGCTGCCGCAGCGGGTCGCCGCGCTCGTCACTGATCAGAACGAGACCCTGCTGCGGGCTCTCCGGCTGCCTAGTGAGCGCCGCCGCCGTGCCGCCTTCGCCGCAAACCGGCGCCACAGCCGGCGCTGTTTGGGGCCGGGCGGGGGAGCTGCCCCTGCAGCTTTGGAAAACAGGGCATGAGCACTGCAGCGCTGAGCAGTGAAATGGATCAACGCTCGTGTCTGCCCTTCCACCTCCAGCTTGCTGGGGAAGTTCCTGTGAGCCAGGGGATGAGCTATCCAGCCCGATTAGCCGTATCGGCCAGAAACGGTTGCAGGTTACAGCAAGCAGACGCTGTTAGGTGGTCATCGCTTCATAGAGTGGTTCCTTCAACAGCCACACGATGACTGGCAGGGATTTACAGTAGACTTGTGCATGTAGACAACAACAGAGGTGCCGCAGTACGAACTGGGCAGGATTTATTGCACTATCCGTTCCAGGAGGTGTAGCTTCTTATTAATTGCGGAGAGGGCTTTCAGCGCCCCCCCCCCCCCCCCCAACTTGGACTCCAGCTCCCCCAGCTTTGTAAGACAGTTGGCCAAATCTGGAGGGAAACCTGTGTGTTGGCATATTCAAGGGTTAGATTGGGGCATTGTTCACTGTTCCCCCCCCACCAACTCATTTTGTCAAATCACGCGCCTGATTCGCGCCCTCCCCCTCCCGAAATTTGGGAGATCGTGAAGCGACTCTCCTCTAACCTTGCCTGACATAAACAGCGTGTCCCTCTTTCTGGAGCGTGCCGCAGCCTGGAGTCGTGCGCGCCGGCGCCGCCCTCCGTTCGCGTCCCCGCGGCCACGTCCGTGTGATCTAGTGCCGCCGCTCACATCCGGGACCGGGTAAGAGCGGTGGCTTACGGCGCGCGGGCGATCGTTCGACGGGACCGCCCGATTGCCCCGGGGAAATGGCTCGCTTCCCCCCCCCCCCCCCCCCCCCCCCCACCGCCGGGGCGCCTCCTCATCACGGAGCGACAGTCACAACGCGATTTACGACCCGGGAGGCAGATGCGCGGCAGGGCCGGGAGCCGGCGGAGCTGGGAGAACCGGCCAGAGACAGGCCGGAGCTCGGAGGGAGACGGACCGGCCAGGACAGGGAGGCAGGACCGGACCGGTTCAGGACCGGGCGCCAGTCGGCAGCCGGTGATGGCGGTGGTTTGGGGTCAGAGCTCGGAGGGAGACGGACCGGCCAGGACCGGGAGGCGGGGCGTTCAGGACCGGGCGCCAGTCGACAGCCGGTGATGGCGGTGGTTAGGGGTCAGAGCTCGGAGGGAGACGGACCGGCCAGGACCGGGAGGCAGGACCGGACCGGTTCAGGACCGGGCACCAGTCGACAGCCGGTGATGGCGGTGGTTTGGGGTCAGAGGATTCAGCTGTTTTGTGGCGCAGCGTTCAGGACGAGATGAAGGTTGCAGCGGAACGGCGGCAGCGACGGAGTCGGTTGACAGGGAGCAGGGACGACGAGAGCGAACGTCCGGAGGCTGTAGCGGATGGACGGGTGCGTGACCGCACATCCATTGGGGTTCCTGACCCATGTGCGAGGGCGACCAGTGGGCGTCCAACTCACAGACCGCCTCGTTGACTCCTACCACTGGGCCCGACACCAATCTTGAACCGCACCAGCCGGACAGACATGCTGTTTTTCTTCCTCGCCCGAAAAAAATTGTCACTACTTCTTCACCATGGACTCGACGCATCGTGTGCGATGCTTCGGAGACGGGTGATCCCCGGCGCGTATTAAGTCGCGACCAAGTGCGTTTTCGTGTACATTTTCTGCGTAGCGCCGCGTACGTTGATTTTTGCTCACTTATCTTTACTGAGTAGAGCAGTGAGTAAAGCTCCGCGAGGCAAAGAGTGAGCTTGCCTTTTTTATTGTCGTCCCCTATAACCGTGACGGCTGGTCCCTGCGATGTCATTGGCTCTGCCATCTGTCTGTGCCGGGATTTTAGGACAATCTCTCACTAACAACGGTGGCGGCCTTGCGAGTAGAATAAAAGGAGCCGGGCGGGGGCGTGATGCAGCTTGATCGCTAAACACGACTTGAGATGTTTCGTACCTAACGTAATCGGATTGCATTGGCATGGAATGGCCCTCCCGCCAGTCTATCAACGGATACGGATTTGTTTGCAACTGACTGCATGGACCGGCCGCTAAATAATCAGACTTGACCGACTTGTGGATAAACTGCCAACAAACAACCTGGGCAGCTCTAGCGCCCGAACGTGGCGTCGCAAAGAGGGAGTGCCCCGCGAGCTTCTGTAAATCGCGGTAATGTTTACAAATGTCGGTGACCTCGCTACCGACGGTCCACACAGAGTGGAGCATCGTTAAACGTCCCCAGCGGGCAGGCAAATGGTAACGGGGGAGAGGCCGTGTGGCGCCGGCCGGATCAGCAGTGTCAGCCGTATCGGCCGATGGACTCGTAAACGGCCGCTGCACTGGCGTACCAGCGCGGTCAGCTCGCTCCTCCCGGGGCACGTGGCGGGCGAAGAGATAGGAATGCATTGGCTCGTGCAGCAGCGGGTATTGACCCCTTATCCGCCAGCCTGTTGAGAGCCCGCCTCTCCGCCGCTGCTGTCTTTTAGCATCATAACACCGCCACGTCAAAGGTACTTTGCTGACTGCATGAAGTTAAGTCCTCGAGAAATTATGGCTATCAATAGTCCATCACACAGGCAGACGCCGCTTAAATCATCATGTCGACAGCACAAAACGCCGATGTGAATATCAATGTCTTGTCCAGCATCTATGTTCTGCCGCTTAGGCGTTCTCTCACACACTTGTCACTGCTACCTCACACTGGCTGACGTGACAGATGTGTCTGCATACCGACAGCAGGTCTGCAGCGCCGGCCTGCCGAGGCGCGGTACGGGTGCGGGTGCAGCTGAGCCGATGAACATCGATCTGTCAAGATAGCGACATTCGATCTGTGACGTCATGTTAGGCGTTCATCTGCGCCAACTCCGTTTGTGATTGTGTCACTCAGCGTGGTTTTATGCTGTAGCAGCACGTCTCCTTGCGTGATTCTCTTCAAGGCTGCAGCCAACAAACGGTCATGCGAGTGTTGCGCGCAGCCGGGCCCGCTGGAGCAGTCTCATGCTGCATGGCGCTGCAGCGTGTGGACGTGTAACCTAACAACACGCTGCTGTCGATAAAAGAATGTCACCGGCATTCTTATCATGGCCTCTTGTTAAACTGAACTCGTGGAATTCGTCATTAGAATGGCCATGCAACAATCACACCAATTTCCCATCCCACGACGTTTGTCTCCAACTCATAGCATGCGAGCTTGCCGCCAGGTGTCACCCTGCGGGTCGGCGCCCGATTGACCGTCGTTCCCGGCCCTGTCGCCAGATGTCAGGGTTGTCGTGTATGCCACCCACTCGGCTAACCGGGCCGAGAACGAGGAAGTGGTGTTCGGTGTGGTGGACGAGGTCAACGAGCAGCAGCGGCGGCGGTGGCAGGCCGCGCGGGACCACAGCAAGCTGGAGACCGAGGTGCCACGAGGGAGGCGCGCGCGGCCGGCCACAGACATAACAGATCAGTGTGGCGGAGACCGACCGACCATCACAGACCAGCTGCGCACAGGATACGGCAGGGCACGGGGCATGGCATTCGACCCTCTTATCCTCTATCTTGGTCCATCTTGCATCCTCGTAACATCCCCATTGTCCGGGACAGGCTGCATGCGCCAGCCACGAGTGGGCCGAGAGCCCCCGTGGGAAGGGGGACCCCGACCGGGTCCCAGCACACATGCGCGGGTTAAAGCTCGGTGGCTGGCTCCCCAGGCGCAGACAAGCCTGCTCCGACGTTAACCATTTTCCTTTAACCCGTGGCCCTGAAATGATCATTTCTGGTCGAAAGGACACCACTTCTAACAACCAAACAACCAAACAGAGCATACCGGGGTACACGACAGTGTGGTTCGGGAGGCAACAGGGCACCGTACTCGACGAGGTACAGGGCACGACAAGGTACGGGTCACGGCAGAATCCAGGGCGCAGTGCGGGATATGTCAGGGCGGTAAGACAGGGCATGGAGATGGTAAGGTACGTGAGGCACGGTAAAGTAGAGCAGAGTGCAGAGCACAGCGGGATACACGGTTCAGCATGGTGTGGGACAAGGTGAGGTAAGGACGGCTGGGTGCAGGGTGTGGGTAAAGCAATGCGTAAGGTGTGGTAAAGCACCATGTACTGGCACAAGATACAGTGTGTTTAGTATCGGGACCGACATAAACTAGGCTGGTTATTCCTTTGATTCACACCGCGCGTTGTAGTCACCAACGTCGAGCACGTCGCATAAGCTCGAAGCTTCTAAGGAGGCATTGTCTAAACAACCGAAATGGTCCGACAATAGCTGCAATAAAAGGTTGAACAACCATCATTGCTTGTGAAGACGCAACAACTTCCAGATCAATGGATCAGGACAGATGTCATGCATAATTTCCTGCCAATACGGGACATGATATAGTTTTGAGCCCTGTTCGTGAAATCATGGCAGCGGCTTAGTAAATAAAACTGTCTGGACTCCCTTACACTGGCCTGCGCGAGTGAAACTGTGTCATTTTCTAAATAGGAGTCGACACCAACAGGCTGCGAGTCCACAAATCAAACTGTCCTCGTTGTATTGGCAGACCCCACCGGACAAGCTGTTCGAGTTCCGTCAGCTCGTAACCATACCGGACGAAAACAACGAAGACATTGGCATTCCATTTCTCGTACTGCCACAGACCTCGACGTCGTCGGGAGTCTTCATCTCCGTGATAGTGAAAAACGTGAGTCCCCGCTAGCGACAAACCCGCCTAGCGAGCGGCGTTCCGCAGTCAGTGCGAAACGACGCCTCTGATAAAGAAATATCGTTGAGCAGTTCAAAAACCGGTCCAAACTATCAAACAAAAGCTGGCTCCTCGTGCAGTTAGCGGACTGACTGGGAAGGAGCATCGCCGCTTCAGTGCCGTCCTCCCTGTCCGTGCCGCAGATGGACTTCATCCAGCGGGAGCACCGGTCCGTCATTGACGACGCGTTCGGCATGGGCATGCTAGATAAGGTGGGGGGTCCGGCGCCGGCCACCGAGCCAGCCGAGAGCCGACCCAGCCGCCGCAAGCTGCGTCGGCCCAGGGCGGCCGTGCGCTCCGACCGGCTGATCGTAGTCGGCAAGAAGGAGCCGCCACCGGCAGCCGCCGCCGCCACCACCACCGTACCGCTCCACGTGCATGTACCGCACCTGCAAGACTGCACGTGCACCGAGTGCGCGCGGCGTCGGCGCGCGCGGGCGCCATCGCAGCCGGCGGCGGGAGGCGGCGCGGCGCGGGACCGTCGGCGAGCGCCCGGCGTCGCCAACCGGCGGCGCCGCGCTCCTGGCTGCCGGCGCTGTCTGGCAGCACGGCAGAGAGCGCGGCGCCCAGCCGCGGCAGCGCCACCAGCCTGGGCGGCGAGCCCGGCCGCTGGCCGCTGGGTGCCGACCGTGGTGCAGCTGCAGGCGACGCCGGCCGCCCGCCATGACGGGCACGTGCTCTCGCCGATCGCGGGCAGCGCGGACCGGGCAGCGCGGCGCCCCGGAGCTAGAGCGGGCCCGTCAGCATGAGCGCGACGGACGCCGTCGGCCGACTGACCCAGGCGGCTGACAAGACGTCCCGCGAAGCTATCCGCGCCATCCAAGAGCAGATGGAGGGCGCCTGGGGCGCGGCGCGCCGCGAGCGGGACGCCGACACAGCGACCATGCGCGACCTGGAGGACCTGGAGCGGACGCGGCTGGGCGCGCAGCTGTGGTGGGCGCAGGCGGCGCGCCGGCCGGCCGGCGGACTCCGCTCGGCCGGCCTGCGGCCGCACGTGCGCCAGCTGCTGGCGTCGCGCGGCCGCCAGCTGTGGCGATACGCACCCGAGGAGCGGCCCGGCGCCAGAGTGGCCGACGGCCGGCCGCCAGCGCCGCCGCCAGGTCAGCCAGCCACCCAAGCCGGCCGCGCAGGACGACGAGGCGTCGCAGGGCGACGCGGCGCGCTGCAGTCTGCCGCGCCTGCCGCCACGCACCCGCCACCTCTCGCTCGGCCCGCCCCTGCGCATCCACAAGGTCAACATCGGCGAGATGCTGCCGCTGGCGCTGCAGGCGCCGCCCGTGTTCTGAGATCGGCCACCAGTCCCGTCGCTGTCCTCATCCCGTGTATTACAGAATCAGCAGCCGAAGAAAATTGCACGGAAATCCGCGGTGACGCACTAACACTGACAACGTGCTACACGCTAGCTTAGCTCCAACACATATATCATGAATGCAGTCGCCCAGCGGGCGAGGCACCGCCCAAACTCAGCTGGTACAAAAAGACTATTACGAACGAGCAGATACCACATGAAACGGACGTTTGCATGGTGAGCGGCCCGCGAATCACAGAGGTGCGCGCACCCGCTCACAAATAAAATGCTATTTGTCGTGAAGGCAGCATTTGTATTTCCCAAAATCAATGCAATTACATTGAAATTTTCGTTCGGCGTCAGCACGCATCTCGAGCATTACGTTTGCAGCGAGAAAAGCAAACGTCACAAACATTTTAGTTTCCTATTAAGTCAATAATAGTGTAGCACGCCTACGATCGCAAGAAATGCGGTTTTGTGACGCATTGAACCAAGTCCTAATAATCGTTCACGCCGGCCCGGACGCCGACCGGCCTTTCAGGCACGGTCAGGGCACGGCAGCAGACGCTCTATGCACGAGCACCAGCGAATCCAGCCTGCACCCGTGGCATCCGATGCTGTGTCGACGGGTTCGGCGCGGCCTGGATTCGAACCCAAACGTCGGGATTCCGCGATTCGAGAAGTCCGCCGACGCGATTTGGCGATTCTAGGGGTCTGACGACAAGGTCGTGACCGGACCCAATGACTGCACTCCTGAGCACAGCTCGTGCTGCGCTGGTGCTTGCAGCGGGCCAGGTGCATACCCGCTTATGTCCATCAGGGAGGCGTACGCACCGAGAGCACGCGCCTCAGCACCCGCTCATGTCCATCAGGGAGGCGTACGCACCGAGAGCACGCGCCTCAGCACCCGCTCATGTCCATCAGGGAGGCGTACGCACCGAGAGCACGCGCCTCAGCACCCGCTCATGTCCATCAGGGAGGCGTACGCACCGAGAGCACGCGCCTCAGCACCCGCTCATGTCCATCAGGGAGGCGTATGCACCGAGAGCACGCGCCTCAGTACACTGCAAAATCATGCTAATTAAATTACCCTAGCCTACCGGCTCATGCTTGGTAAGCGCCTATAAATAGACATAGCGACGTACGAAGCTCCCTGCGTCTGGAGAAGCCGGTCAGTTCGGAGTGCGCCGAGCCGGCTCCGTTGGTCGAGCGAAGACACTATCCGGCCCTGTCTTCCCCTCCCTCCTCTGAAAACTCTCCTTTCCCCGGATGAAGCCTCCCAGGCAGCATGACCGATATCCAGCTCCGCTCCCAACACCACCTCGTCACCCGCGGAGTCGCTCCACCAGCGATGCTTCAGGGAGGGGAAGGGGGGGGGGGCAGGGGGACGCCAGCCCTATGACGTGACGCGGCTCAGACCCGACAGCTGGCTGCCCCGCCTCGCCCAGGAAGCCCGCAACCACTCTCCCGCGTCGCGAGGGGTCCTCTCCACGCCGACGCCGCCCTGATCGCTTCCACAGCCGCCGCACACTCACCGGGTCGCCGGCCTCCCCCGCGACCCGCCCGCTAACCCTGCGGCAGGCCGCTCCTGGCCCGGCCCGGCGCCGCGTGCCGACCGGCCGGCCGCCTCTCACTCCAGCCCCAGCAGGTAGTTGACGCCCTGCACGGCCATGATGATGACCGGCTGCCAAGCCACCAGCCAGCGGATCCAGTCCAGCAGCTGGCCGTACAGCACGTGCGGCTTCTCCCACGGGTTGTGCAGCATCCGCTTCAGGTCCACCTTCTCCTTGCAGTAGGGGCATATCTGCTTCTTGCCGACGATGCACCAGCCGCGTATGCAGAACTCGTGGAACCTGGCCGGCCGCGAGCGGGGCGTGAGAACGGTCGGACGCCGCGCGCCGCCTGGCGCGGTGGAATTCGAACGCACAGCACCGAGCAACAGCGCAGCGCGCTGCCACTGACCTCCATAATGTTAGCCTCATCTATGAGACTAACGTGAAAAGCGTTTATCCGCGTCATCACATAACGCACAAAGCGCAATGGCAGCGACCTGTGCTGTATATAATCACTTGCTGAGAAAGTGATGAGAGCATCTGGGACAGGTCTCTGATCACAATATTACATAGATCACCTGGTTCCCAGATGTCACACGAAGCACACTGCGATGCAGCCAGTCAATGTTCCACCCTGTGCACTCTCCCGCTTCGCCTATCATTTACGCGACCCAGTAACCTCGATATTGAGCCGTGATCCACTCCGGCATGCTAGCGGGGCCCTACCACCACATCACAAAGTCGGCGCCCTCCACCTGCAAGCCCGTACCGCCCCGCCTCATCCCACTTGATCCCTGAGCCCGCCCCGGTCCCGCACACCGGCCGCCAACGCGCAGCCCTCCCCCGCCTCGCCCTGCCCCGGGCACTTTGGCTCACTTCCTTCCCTCCCGGCCACATTCACTCCCCAGCCCATCGCCACTCTCCCTCCCCAGCCCATCGCCACTCTCCCTCCCCAGCCCATCGCCACTCTCCCCCCCCCCCCCCAGCCCATCGCCACTCACACTCCCCAGCCCATCGCCACACTCCCTCCACAGTCCCGCTCCACTATCACTCCACAGCCCATCGCCACTCTCACTTCCCAGTCCATCGCCACCCTAACTCCTCAGCTCCGCGCCATCCCCACTCCCCAGCCCCGCACCACCATTACTCTCCAGGCCTGCACTACCCTCACTCCTCAGCCCCAGCCTGCCCGCGGCCTGGGCCCGCTGCCGCCGCCGGCCCTCCGGCGCTTACACGTGCTGGCAGGTCAGCCGGTAGGTCTTCTCCAGCACGGCCTGGTCGTTGTCCAGCACCATCAGCTTGTTGCCGCAGACGGCGCACACGTCCGGGTCCAGGCTGCGGGTCGGCATGCCGTCCGGACGGTAGTACTGTGGACGGAAAACGGAGGACGGCGTCGGCTCGGGCTCGGCGCACAGCAGTACTGCCGCTGGAGGACAGCCGCCGGAGGGCAGCCGCTGGATAACAGCCACCGGAGGACAGCCACCGGAGGACAGCCGCCGGAGGGCAGCCGCTGGATAACAGCCACCGGAGGACAGCCACCGGAGGACAGCCCCCGCAGGACAGCCGCCAGAGGATAGCCGCCGGAGGGCAGCCGCTGGATAACAGCCACCGGAGGACAGCCCCCGCAGGACAGCCACCGGAGGACAGCCGCCGGAGGGCAGCCGCCGGAGGATAGCCCCCGCAGGACAGCCACCGGAGGACAGCCGCCGGAGGGCAGCCGCTGGATAACAGCCACCCGAGGACAGCCGCTGAAGGACAGCCGCTGGAGGATAGCCGCCGGAGGACAGCCGCCGGAGGGCAGCCGACGGAGGGCAGCCGCTGGAGGGCAGCCGCCGGAGGATAGCCGCCGGAGGACAGCCGCCGGAGGGCAGCCGACGGAGGGCAGCCGCTGGAGGGCAGCCGCCGGAGGATAGCCGCCGGAGGACAGCCGCTGGAGGATAGCCGCCGGAGGGCAGCCGCTGGATAACAGCCACCCGAGGACAGCCGCTGAAGGACAGCCGCTGGAGGATAGCCGCCGGAGGACAGCCGCCGGAGGGCAGCCGACGGAGGGCAGCCGCTGGAGGGCAGCCGCCGGAGGATAGCCGCCGGAGGGCAGCCACTGGAGGACAGCCACCGGAGGACAGCCGCCGAAGGACGCGCACCAGCCGCAAACGCGGCTCAAACGTGGTGCGCGCACACGGCCGCACGCACTGCAAATGAGACTTGGTGCTTCTCCACGGCCTGTGTCCGCTTCTGTGAGAACTACCGCGTGAATTACCGGCCTTCCGTCGAGTCCGGTCAGAGTTCTAGTTAATTCATCGCGCGAACACTGCGCCCAATTGGTCCAAACGTCACACCACATCACCAGTTTGGGCCAGCCTTTCCACCAAATAGCCCGAGAGATCTTTAGCTTGTTATGCAAGACCATCCCAACCCTCTATGTCCCCAAAGTTTGTCTCCTCCGCCTCAAGGAAATCTTGCGCCTAGGATTGGGAATCGAAACCCATGTGGCGGTTGTCTGCGTTCGTCGCTGATGTGAGGCAAGACGTGAGTGATGACTGCTGTACCAGCGGGACAGCGGCCTAACCAATGACAGGGCGGGAACAGACGGCGACAGACAGGCCCAGACACCACGCCGAGTACAGACAGGTCACATGCGGAGCAGCCAGGTAGTGCGAGCCGCTCCACACACACACTCCACACCGGCATGCCACGTTGTGCCTGCCCTATTTCGATGGTCACCAGTAAAACGACGGAACAGCCGCAAAACATACTGCAACAACAGTGTGCAGGTCATATACAGGGTGATGACACATCGCTTCAGCCGCCAGCATTGCACGCGGGCGCCCTTTGTGGATATCGCATTACGCGTCATCTGCTGGCAGGGGCGGCGCCACGGGTTGGGTTTGGGGGTGAGCAGGATTTTCAAGATGGCCTCTTGAACAAAATGGGGCCTACACACAGGGGGAAGGGGGCAGGTTCCCGGCAATGTCATATCCAAGGGGGAAGGGCACCGAGGGCATTTACCCTCTTATAAAATTGTTACGTGTATTATATGCAAGTAAATATCCACTATAAAAAAGTTCAGAATGGGGCCCTCTGATTATCCGGTAAAGGGTCCAGCTTTTCTAAAGTAAGGCCGTGTGTTCCTAGAAAGGGTTTCCTGATGCAAAGAGAGAACTCCTACGCAGACCAGGACGCTTTTCATTCATGAAGTGGGCCTCCAAATCTAGCGAAGGGTCCTCGTTATCCCGAAACAGGGGCATCCTGATCCGGAACCGCCGACATCTTGACGCCTGAAAGGGGCCTCCTTTTCAGAAGAGGGCTTCCTGAATATACGAGGGTGCCTTCTAACCCAGTACAGGGCCTCCTTACCTCAGAACAGAGCCTCCTAGTTGATAATGGGAGCCTCCCGATCCAGCAGAGGCCCTCCCCAACATAACATCGGGGCCTACTGATTCAGAGCAAGGGCCTGCCTTACTCATAGTGGTAACCCATGGTCCAGAAAGCGGACTTCTTGATATAGAAAAGGGTCTTGTGAACCCGATTTATTTCTGTATAGCATAGTTACGGGTATTCTTGACTTAATTATTTTTAGTATGTTATTTGTGTATCTACGGGTATCTACATCGCCCTTTAGTTCGGGACAATAGAAATCTCGCAAAAATTTTGAAGGAGCAAGAACATACTCTTGCTCCCGCCTGCCGACAGGAAGGAAGAGAGGGAGAGGCGACGCTCCCCTTACCCCCTTACCACCCCCCCCCTCCCCCCCCCCCCCCCCCCTGTTTGCGTCACCCGTGTGCTGAAGGGACAGTAATCTGTACTTCGGCGCCGAGCCCGCTGCATGCCAGTTGCACAACGTTCCGCGCATTACTGCTTTATCAGCAGTTCTGGACACCACAACCGCATACTGCTCAGCTCTTAAATTGCTGACGTCCTCACAGTCAATGAAACAACATCCACAATAGTTGAGATCAATATGCCCAAAACAGTTGACACTTCATACTTCGTTCCGTGATGACAGCAATATTCCATCAAACGCCGGCTAGAATACACCCCGATGCGCGCGGACCATTTTATCGCCCCGCACACATGAGGGCAGCCATTTCACACGTCTGCTTACTCCGATGTGGGGCGGCCATTTTGTCAGCGCAAATCTCGGCGCAGTCTCGGCCCAGTACGCCGTAGTAGAGGCCGTAGAAGAGAAACATGATGCCCACGTCCATCCAGACGTGCGGCTTCACGCTGAACATCAGGGTTAAAGCCCATGAAGGTGGCCCATCATGATGGTGTAGCCGATTATTCCTAGCCCATAGCTGATCTTGTACAAGAGCAGGAACCACTTGTAGACAAGCCTGGAGGCAGCGAAGATGTTTGATTTAGTCTCATGCGTTCCAAACTCCACAACTTCAACAAAAAAAAAACGTCACTTCACCCATATCAATGCATGTCGTGCGAATATTTGCCGAGAGTATGTCTGCACAAACTAAATAGTCCGACATCACAGTTGTTTGGCCGCAGCCATTTCACAACCACACATGCCCAGCCACGCTGGGAAGACGAGCCAGGTCTTCCAACTTGACGAACAAATGTCAATGCATGATACGCCGGCGGTTTGTCCAGATCTAACACTCAGATCTAACACCCTTCTAACACCCAGATGGTGACAGTGACGTCGCACCTAGGCGTGGTGCCCTCCAGCGGCTTTTTCATGGCTTTGTGTCCGATCATGAGCGTGATGCACGAGTAGGTAAAGCAGCCAGAAGAAGATGAAGCGCCACCAGTGGTTGCGGATGCAGAGCACGAACGGGATCACCCACATGCCGATCAGGGTCACGATCTGAAACAGCAGCCATGAATGGCACCACCCGCGTGTCGATCAGTCCCGGCCCGCAGCAGCCATCGCCGACGGACGGCATCGCCCATGGGCCGATCAGTAGCCTACTCACACGGCAGGAGGGCCGGTCGGCACACTCTTATGGAGCTTTCGGTGAACGAGTCCAAACGGAGCTCTGCAGCTGCCTCGTCGGCAATGTCACGACACTGGTGTACGTGGGAGACTGTCAAACAAGCAGGCTGTGATGGTCTCCAGAAAACCACAGTCATTCGTCAATTTTTTAATGCCTGCCGAGCTTGACACTGCACGATTTGAGGGACTAAGATTTTTAGCAAAAGTACGTTAGGGATAGATCGGTCCACAATGGTTATTTCAGAGCTCACAAGCGACCAACGGAACTTTAACATTCGAGCACTGACAGTATGTAAGCGAACCACGCATTAGGGTCACAGGCTCTTGACGATGTCGCCGGGTGTCCAGCACTGGCAACTCTTCCCTCCCGGCATCGCCGTCCCGCCCGCGTGGGTACCGTCCCTGGCTGACATAGACGTGATGCGAGCGAAAGTGTCTACTCCTCCAGAAGACGAGCACCACCTGGCTGACACAGACCTGATACGAGCGAAAGGGTCTAGTCCTCCAGAAGACGAGCACCACCTGGCTGACACAGACCTGATACGAGCGGGGGTGCTTGCTCCTCCAGAAGACGAGCACCACCTGGCTGACAGACCTGATACGAGCGGGGGTGCTTGCTCCTCCAGAAGACGAGCACCACCTGGCCGAGCAGCAGCGCCGTCACCAGCACCAACACCATCTCGGCATGCATCTGCTCATGGCCCTTGTGCTTCTCGTGCATCCGGATGTGCTCTATCCTGCAGACAGGGTACGCTGCCTCAGCAAACAACTAGATGCGGACATAGCCTGCCATGATGCCAGCAGGACGCCTGCTGTGGCGTGGAACGAGCGAGGTGATAACAGGCGCGGGCGCTATTTCCATCTCGACGATGCTAGTACATCTCGAATGAGGAGTGATGTTGTTTAAATCCCTGGGAGTAGGCCATATCAATGCACCTGAACATTATTTTGATGACTTAGACTTGCAGAGGTCCACTCATCTTTAGAAGGCGCGCACAAATTCATAAATGACAATGCTGGATGCATGATCAATACATTTTGGCTGCCTTTGGTCCTCACAATTTCAGCTGACGAGATCCAGGAATCTGGAATAATTTAGTCTTTGGTGGCTGTGACACAAGCATTGGGAAAACACAAATATTTTGGGTGGATGTTGCTCACAAGGTGGGCTATGTTCACAGCCCAATTTGTATTGGTTTAGGTCAAAGTGTGCCTTATTTGAGACTGATTTCAGAAAAGGAAAAATTGGTAGCTTTCCAGGTCGGTGGCACCACACCAACGGGGTGGTCAGCGTTCAGATCGCACAATGATTTATAGGTGGTATGTTCGCCTGTGCTGGCTTCACGTTTAACTGTTGTCATTGCCCAAGTCTTAAAAAATATGCCTAAAATGGGAGGATCCATGGTCTGCACAGGACACTGACTGAAGGTTCACCAAATTTCAATCACTGGGTCATGACAGGTCAATAAAGCTACCAAATTCCTGATTAGTTGATGTTGGGACTTGCTTGGTCTGCAGCCTTGTTTGTAATAACAGGACACAATTTTGTGGTGGCACCAGCCTTGAGGATCAATGCTTTCCTTCATTTATAATGAATCATAGTGACCATATAGCACTATCAAAGCCACTGCAG